GTTTAAATATTGATATTGTTAGTCTTACAATAACCAGACTCACCCACTTTAATACTAGTTTAAGGAGGTCTTTATGATTCCTAATGAGGTCGATTTTTAATATGCTTCGCGCTTACCTCCCTCATCGCCTTTTGTATTTTGAGAGTGAAGTTGCTGAAAGGGTTTGATAGGATAATGGTCAAGTTAAAAGTATTAAAATTAAAAGTATAAAACAAATCTTGTTTTCTTGAAAAAAATGTGCATCTTATCTTACCCATGAAAATTGCACATTCTCATTATAATCAGTTGATGGAGCTCGTATGGTTAATCGACACGTTAATTGGTGTGTATAGTTGAGAGTTATGTGGAACTCATGATTCTCAAGCGTATCTTGAGTCGGGGAACGCATAATTTTTCATGGTTTCTTCACCATCTATTCTATGCGATGGGTTATGAGGATCCTTCCTTAGACAAGATAACAACAACATATTTTAATCCTCAATAAGCCCTAATTTCGGATCTATGAACAACCTATCAATTGCAACTTTAATATATGAGAATACATACCTTTTTGGGTTCTTCAAAAACCTCATACATCCTTGATTAATTGATGAGCATTAAGAGTCGAACGTAGAACTCATCATTTGTAGTCATACCCAAAACACTCGTATTAACAACACTCAACAACAACCAATCCTCCGAACAAATAGAAAAAGAACTACAAATTCTAAAACTATTGGTGCAACACTTCCACATCTTGGCAATGTAGCCACCATGATGTGGTGTCTTGATTTTGGTGATTTCAGGAATAAAGAGATGCAACCAAAATTTTCATAGGATTTTCATAAAACTCGTCATTGATGTTATCCATAGACCTCTCTATTTATAAGGAAGGATATTATTTAAATACTATTAACTAATTAACAGATCAAGTCCCTATAATTTCCCATGCTATTTATTTTTTTTATTTCTTTCATTGCGTGTAACCGAAAAGTACCTTACGATTGATATTAATATTACCAATTGTTGTGACTGTGACACTATTCTCCAATAGTTCCCACTTGCACAAGTCAGCAACACTATAGTCTAATATTCACTAGTACTGAGTAGAGAGTATACGGTCACATATATTTTCCATACTCACAACATAGAGTCATTATATAGCCCTTAGATAAGTGATCAAGTATTCCTTTGATCTTCAAGATGTCTATATGAATGTGAGACATGGATATAGTCAATCTTAAACATTCAACATTTTGTTTCCTAATACTGACTTGTATCAACAAAAAGCAAACTGCATAATTGATTCATCAGTTCATTCTGAGCACGACCATGCATTTTAATGTCAACACCAAATCATCAAGGGTCCTAAAGATATCGACTCCAACTATTTAAAAAAGAAGTGAACAAATAAACTTTAACTACATAGGTTCTTCCTATTCATTATGTCATCAATCAAACGCTATATGATTGCCATTTACGAACATCGTTGGGGAGAAACCAAGACACAACAAATTGTAGGAGAAAATATCTTGCATTTCCATTTGAAGATTAAATGATTCTCCATCTTATAATTACTTGTGAAAGAATCCATGAAGTAATCTTGAAGTGAGGGTTACTCTAATACCTTAAAATCTCCATTTAAAGTACTCATGAGTATTGGTTGCAAACTTTGCTATGTTTATCCCATGGATAATCTACCAATGCTCAATGACACTCTTAAATCACCATGTACTTCTTGGAGTAGAATTGATTGTGGAAGTTTGAATAAATTAATATTCTAGAAGGTGCTCTAAACATGCAAAAATTGAACACAATGATAATCTTAATGAGATGAATCATCTCCATCAAAATATTAAGTTCTCCACTTAATAATCACGAAATCAAATAGAGACTTATATTGTTTTAGTTCCTAAATTTAAAACAAACTAAACTAAATGTGCTCAAGTTAATACACATGTAAATATAATGATATTAGATCTATATGTGACTATTAACCTTGATTAGTGACTTTAGTTTAAAGGAATATATGGATACGGTTTTCTTTAGTTGGTTATGATGTCCCCACAATCGTGAAGGTACTTACTGAGTATTTACCATGTGATCTTATGTGACTTGGGTTCTGTACTCGAGTTAAAGTCACGTTTTAGTCACAAGAACCTCAAGAGAACCATTAAAGATTGAATATAACACTTGGGTCACTGATGCATTCCTTTTAATCACATAGCTTGTCTATGAAAATTAACCAAGTGCAATATACTCTAAGATTATTATCAAATCCACTTATATGTATTACTTGGTACTCTTCCAAGCTAATACTTTATTATTTATTAAGAGTACAAGTTCGACTTCTAAACAAAAATGTCTCCGTTATTACGGAACTCATCATCAATGTAACAATTTGATTGATTTCTTCTATACTAGCAAGATTATCTCTTTCATCCTGTTAGGATTCCAGAGAATATTATAGATTTGTTAATTATAACCACAAGGATCTTATACTACTTATCATGCACAAGGAATACGAGTATGTTATGACTTTTATTGGCATAAATACTTTAAGGCTTATACAACTCAAGTTTTCCTCAAGAGTCTAAATGTTTTGGCTTAAATCAATGATTCACTTAGATTTAACCCTATAGACTCTAAGTATATTTTCTTATTCCTCCCATGTGTTTCATAGCGAGACGATTCATCAACCAAGTAAAGCTATTTAAACTTAGCAAATTTAGGACATCATTTCCTATTTAATACAAGGGACAACATAGCTCTTACTAGCTTTGAAATTTATATGGACTATCTTTTGTTTCTCATAATTCAACTTTTTAATTTCTCGTCGAAGCAAATGATCCAAACAAGAGATGCATGTTATATTCCATTAATGGAATTCTCAAGCCTACATATCTTTCATAACCCATCTAGGTTTGACGATATGTTTATTGCTGTCTATGATTGTCATCTTTTGAAGATCTACAAACACTACATCGTTTTAACACCAAGTGTTAGATCAATTTAAATTTAAACATACATGGAATGAATCTCATTCCTCATATACTCCTCTAATTGTGGATTATAGGGCTTTCTATTGCTTTCGATAATCAATAGACTCTGATCGCAATTTATTAGTGACTCATTTCGCACACTACTAGAAAAAAAGGCCTTTAATGACGCGCAAGCAATGACACACGCTGATAGAGGACGCGCATTTGTGAGTGCCCTAAAAAATAATGTTAGTTTTGCAAAATTCGAAGGATAGAATACACGCATTTGTACGTGCCCTAAAATTAATGTCCAACAAAAAAAATTACAAACACGGAGGGCGCTTATGTTAAATGTGTGTGTCATCTAGAAATGTCGCTTTATAATTTTTTAGTTAGACGCGCGTTTTTAAGTGGGGAAAATGAAATCTCTAAAATTCTAAAATTTTCAAGTGCCCGCTTCTCCGCTCTATCCTCTTGATCTCCTTCCATTCTCTCCCTCTATTCTCTCTGCAAACCCTAAAATGAAAAACCTTGTCTCTTTTAAAGGAAGACTTGTGCACTTTCCCTTTGGCGGGCCATCGCCATCTTCCTTGTATCTTAGAGTTTTATTTTATTTTATGCTTCACTTCTCCTGATTTACTCTCTCTTTCTCTCTCTCTACCACCTATTACTCGACAACCACCTACCACCCTTCGTCTTCTCTCTGGTTCACCACCGCCTCCAATAAAGCCCCATTATACCACCGACACAGCATATCACAAGATCACCACCCTCTTTCGCACCACCATCGTTGGTTACTAACACCACCATTTGTATAAAAACCCTAGAACCACCAGGCCACCCTTTTCCTCCATCCATGTCCCTCCTTTCTGTGTATCTCTAACAAACCACTACAACATCACATTCAGTTATCCTGGCATGCGACTGCGACTCCCAAAAGATTTAGTGTTATGCTCGATGCTTCTCAACAAAATCGATCGAGGTTTCAGCGCTCCTATCTCATAGAGATTTAGGGATTTCATGGTTCAAGGTATCGAATCTCAGACATCAACGACTTTTTTTGATGACCCGGTCAAATAAAGATGTTTGATGAAATAAATTTGTGTATCTGACTCGGAAAGCTTAATCTAATCGGGTAAGATGGAAAAAATCGACTGACTGAGAAAGGAGGAAGAAACGGAGAAGGGTTTCCAATTGTACCCTTGCCCTACCAAAGGAAGAAATCAGCGACTCCATCGTTTCTTCTCCTTCTTCAACGCCAATTTTCTTCTCCCGCAACAAGCAATCGTCGACGATCCTCTTCTCATCTGTTCCAATTTTTTGAAGTCTCCTTCCCCTTCTCATCAGGTACGCTTCTTCCTTTTACCTCTTCTCATCAGGTCCGATGTTTTGATAATATATAGGTTTTGATTTATGATTTTTCTGTTGAACATGTATGGTTCTTCATTGAATTCTGAAAATTTCTCAAAGAATTTAGGCCCTGTGTTCAATTTCATCATATTTCTTTTGTTTTACACTTGTGCTCAATTTCAAGGAGAGAAACCTGCGATATTTGTTGCTCTTATTTTCTTGATTTGCACTTACGAACCATTGGTGTTACCAGAAAGCAGGTTACCCTGTTCTGCTGTTAAACTTTTCACCATTCCCTTAAAATTACACATACTAGTTAAACTTTTCACCATTCCTTCCATGTTTTGAATTTATTCAACTTTACTTTTTCCCTAATCTGTTTAAAAGACTAAAATACCCCTTATTGATATTACAACCCCTTCATACATTGGCGAACCTGAACCTGAATCATTTGAAAATGTTTTTTTTACCATTTTACCATTACTTGACATACTCACACACAACGACCGAAAAATAGAGGTTATTTTAATATTGTTAAACTATATGAGGTACTATTTTGAGGTATTATCATTTTAAATAACAATAATAATAATAATTGTTGTTGATTCTATTTTTCATCATTTCCTTCTCCACAGTAATCTCAATGCAAGCTCAGATCATCAGAAGTGAATAGGAGGGCTTAGTGATGTTATGACTACTCTTTCTCCTGCTGTTCAGGATTTAAACAATAATGCAGGTATCATTTTTCCAAAGTATAATTGCTTGAATCTTAGCAATGTAAGTAAGCCTCCTGTTCCTGGATAGCTGCCACATCAAGTTGCTTGGAGATGTGGGGTTCCAGGTACAGTTTATGCCAATGGGTTCGTTTTTCATATTTGCAGTGCTTCCAGATACTTGCAAACTTATAGAAGAGTAGATATCTACACGTAAATTCAGCAAATATCCAATCAAGGTAGAATGTTTTTTTTCTTTTAACTTATTTATAATTATATAAGGATGTGTCTTTTTCACTTTGAGTTGTATATTAACTTGGATAGTTAAAAGTTTATTTTTTTGTGGACATCTTCAGGATAAAGACAAACCGATTAGCATCACTTGTTTTTCTCTTAAATTAACAACATCAAATTTGGTCAACTTCTCATATTTTTCTTATTCATGTTAATAGGGCTCAGAAGTAGCCAACATATCCACAACAACTTTCCCCCAAACGTTTGGGATTTCTTTTTCTTAATATGAAAATTGATGTTATATATTTATTTATTTATTTATTTGTTGGATAAATATTGTTCAGGATGAATATGCTCAGTGGATAGTGTCAAGCCAAATAAGCCTTCTTGAAGTCATAGAGGCTTTCCCTTCAGTGGATAGTGTCAAGCCAATTGGAGGTGATAAATGAAAAATGAAATGTTCTTTGTTGACTGTTTAGCAATATGATTGATTTATGAGTTTTGGAAATCTAGGGGAAGGGGATAGAAATGAAAAGGAAAAGTAAAACGAGAGACAGGTGTCACCTGATAAGCTGTACAGGGCTGCACTTTTGAAAAACCATTTTGCGAACATAATTCCATATCATTCCTTTTGTTTAGTAATATAAAAGAGGACCCCCAACAACTTGAAAACCAAAAAAGGAAAGGTTTGCCAATACTATAAATATATTAAGTTTTTCTTTCTTTAGTAATATAAAAACATAAATGTTGTGGTTATTGAAAAAGCACGACTGCAAGCAGAAGCCAAGGCAACTGAAGATGCTTAGAAGCGAGTGAAGGCGGAAGCTGCTGCAGAAGAAAAATAGAAAAGAGACCTGGAGAGGAAAGCAGCCAGACAAGCACTATTGAAGGTATTCCGTATTTCTATTTTGTAACATATATTTTATTATAATATATATTTTATTGTACTTTTTTCAGATTGAAAAAACAGTTGAGATTGATGAGGTGTCTCGGTTTCTGAAAGACTTGGACCCGACAAATAAAATTTAATCTTAAATCTTAAATCTTAAATATTATCATGTTATGTATACATAAAGTAATAAACATAATTCTTGTTAATTTTTTATTTGAATTTGTTTTTATATTTTTTCGGCAAAAGAATGAGTGTGCAGATTGATCCAAAGTGGAGTTGAAAGTGGAGCTAAACTACTACTTGATGGAAGAGATATTGTAGTATTTTTTTTTCAACTTCATATAATTCTTTATGATATAAGGGCAAAATGGTCATTTAATCCCATTCAGCAGACTTAAGTAAATAGATATTGGGCCCACAATCTTGTCTGGTGTTACTAAAGATATGGAGTGTTACAAGGTATAAGCTTTCTAGTGCTATTTTTAGTTATGAGGATGAGGAAGGGCATTTACATCTTTTGCACAAAGTATGTTACAAGATTTAAACTTTTATCTAAACGCAGGAAGAAATCTTTGGTCCAGTTCTTATTTGCATGCAATTATGTTAATACTTTCTATATATAATACTTATTTAACTGATCATGTTCATAATTCATTCTCTTGAGGCCTAATTTTGTAATTTCACCTTTTTTTTTCAGGCTAACAGCTTCGAAGAAGCCATAAATATTTCACAGCATCTGGTGTGGCTGCTAGAAATTTTCAAATTGACAATGAAGCAGTGCAGGTAAGTAATTTTACATATCCTATGAATATTATGACTTAAGAAAACATTTAAACTATTAAAATATGAAAATCTTTATTATTTTTTTTTGTGTGGGTGTTGAATTTACAAATATGCCCTTGTGATGTAGCTCAAAATGCGGTTTCTATGAATGACTTTTCAGGAGATACTTGGGATAAGAAACCGGTTGAGATCGAAAAGTCAATAAAAACAAGTTTTTTTTTTCATTTTGACTTTTTCTGATTATCTGTTGACCTTTTGACTTTTTTTTTTTTTTATTTGAAGATAAACAGAATGTGTATTTGAATGAGTACCATAATCCACATGGGAAGAGAACATTTCAAGCAAATGTAACAAAAACTTTTGCAAATTGTTTAAGCATGAAAATCCTCCTTTGCCAGGTGTTCCTTCTCCCCCTCTCTCTCACTAGTAGTTTTTGTCCCGTTATAGCATCCTACTTTCATTTCCTTCCCTGTTACGTCATTGTACTTTCATTTCTTTTTCTATTACAACTTTGTATTAAATAAAAAAATACTCAATCATAGCAATGCTTGTTACAAAAGGTTTGATCTCAATGTCTTGTGAACCATTTGTTCATTTTGTAATGTAGATCTCAGTGTCGGAGATGGCGAAGGAGAAGGCTTCAAGTTTTAGAATTTGGATTCTGTTGTAGATTTGGAAACAGAAAAAGATAAGGATGTCATTAATAAGTAGGAAAAGGTTTTACTTCATGACTTTATGATGATTTCCTTTTTAATTATATATATATATATATATATATATATATATATATATATATATATATATATATATATGTTGCTATTCTTTTTTTAATCAATTCATTGGTATCTTGTAGCAGCTATACAAAGAGCTTTTGGTTGCTCAGGAGGAAGCCCATTTGGCTCATCAACAACTTACCTCTTCAATGGTTTGAGAAATTTTGAATACTAACAACATACAATAACACTCTTAACATATGGCTCTGAAGCATTGGCAAAGTTATCAATAGACATCCAAGAAATCACATTTGTGATTCAACAATATATTTATTCTCATATGTATCTTTTTAATAGGAATAGGTCCAAGGGAAACTAATGTTGAATCATCAAATCAAGCAAATGTTGATCTTCAGAACACTTCATGTTGAAGTTGCAAGAAACAGAGAAATCGAAGCATCACTTGTGGTTTAATTCAGATTCTGAGTCCTAGGGATATTTTTGGAATATTTAGTTTTTCTAACTTTTATGCGTAGTCCGAGGGGCTACAAAAGGTGTTAGTGTTAGTGATGAAAGCTTGGTTCAGATTCAAAAAGTCTTGTAGAGCTAACAAATGGTTCTTCAGGTATGCAATACTCCTCAGATTTTCCTAAAACTATAAAAAATTTAATTTTTTGATATATATTTTTTATTTTGTTTTGCAGAGGATACTAAAGAGAAAATCTTGCAAAGGATATTTTTTGTTTTGTTTTGCAGAGGATACCCCTCACATTTTCCTAAATTACCCCTTCCTCTACAATGTTTTTTTGTTTCTGTGTATTTTGTGCATCAGGTAAAGTTGGTGGAAGAAAGGAATATGAAGCCACTTGATTCAAATCTTGCAGCACTATCAGCAAGATGCAGTAAAGACTTGGAGTTGAATTTGGCTAAGTCATTCTTGAGTGAGATGGGCCAATGTAAAACTTCTTATCCATATAACAGCTGTGGAGCATTAGTCTTAAAGAATTATGAAAGGCAAGATGCAAGTTTACTTAGTTGGAATTTGATGTAGAGAGTAGATTAGATGCAAATTTAGATATTGTAAAAAATAGAATTGTATGACATTAAATTTTATGCAACGGATTGTATTTTTTGTATATGATATTTTATTTCTATTATGAGACATTAAATGTAAATTCAATTTAAAAATTAATAAATATATAAATATTTTTTTAGAACATTTAAAATTATGATACGTAAAAATGTGTGTCATCTTCATTTATGACATGGCCTTTCTTGACAGGGGTTTCCTTGATACGCATTGTGTGTCATAAACACGCACGTCGTAAGGTTACGACACGCAAATGCGTGTCGTCTTCCTTTATGACAGGGCCTTCCTTGATACGCATTGCGTGTCATAACCGCGTGTCATAAATGTGCGTCATAAATGCGCGTCGTAAATGCGCGTCGTCCCTCTTTATGACAGGGCCTTCCTTGACACGCATTTGCGCGTCGTCTGAGCGTTTTACGTCGCGCAATGAGCGTCGTAAAAGGCCTTTTTTCTAGTAGTGGCATGTGACATGAAGTCAGTGAGGTCCATGACTTCTTTTATTAGATGTACGTGGAAGATGTAGAGGGATTTCATTTTTCTTAACAGGTTTTAACCTTTTATTAAGTGCTAGTTTTTTTCTTTAGGCTCTTCATTAATTGACTCTTTAGTCTTATCAAGATCAATATGGCTCCCAATAGCTCTTTTGTATATTATCTCCTTCATTTAAAAGATTGCCCTTAGTGAATAAATAATTTGTTCTCAGAAGGTTTCCAAAAAACATAGTTGGGGTGTCCAACAAAATAACCCACCTCACAGAGCGTTGGATAAAACTTTCTTAGTTTTTACAAGACCATGGACTCTTGTAATGCTCATTCATGGTACAATCCACAAACCGTTTGTATTTAAATTACAACTCATCGATTACTAATTAAAAATTTATTTTGTTTCTATATCCAACTATATTGCTTATGGCCATGCTTTGGTTTGACATGAGTTGTTAAACTATTTCACAATTCCATTAGATGATCGTTAACCTTTTGACCAAGTGTCACACCCCGAAAACCAGAGGCGGAAACGTCTCCGGGGTTGACTACCACGTTGTGTATCAAATCCAATGTACATAGTATTCACAGTAAACAAACATTACATTACATATATATGAAAGTTTACATGTGTTTCAAAAGTAAAGTTATACAAATATACATATGCATCATATTAACGTAAGTTGAGACGAGTTTTTCTACGCACTCCGTCTTCGCCAAAAGAGATCACCGGGTACCTGTCTAACTTGGACCTGAGAATACAAGCGGTTTGAAAATCAGCATAAAGCTGGTGAGTTCATAAGAGGTTTTGTTTTGTGAAAATGTATCGGTTTCCTTTAGTTTCCGAAAAGATTTGTTATCCAAGAAAATCCCATATTTTCTTATGTGAAGTTGGTTAAGTTATCGTTTGTTACCAATTCGATTATGTATTGTATTTACCCCAGGAAAATCCCATATTTTCCTAATTGTAAGATCAATAGTATATCACTAAGTATAGTTTAGCACACAAAACTATATAATGAAAATCTTGGGATCACTATCCCGAAAGACATATATGTTAGTTTGAGATATTCGAAAGTACGGTTCAAGATCATGGGACTATCATCCCGAACTAACACGAGATAAGTTTATGTATGTATGTAAATATAGATTTGAAACCATGGGATCACTATCCCGAATAAGATACAAATTTTAGAACCCATGGGATCACTATCCAAGTATAAGATATAGATTTAGAAAACCTTGGGATCACTATCCCGAATAGTTCACAGATTTAGAAACCATGGGATCACTATCCCGTATATAGATTTAGAAAACCATGGGATCACTATCCCGTATAAGTTATCGATATGAAACCTTGGGATCACTATCCCGTATAAAATATAGTTAAACACCATGGGGAAAGACATCCCGTACAAGTTGTAGACATAAAACCATGGGATCACTATCCCGAACTAGATACCAAATAGTTTAGTTAATACCATGGGATCACTATCCCGAAAGAGATATAAGAATAAACCATGGGATCATTATCCCGTATAGGACATAGATATAGAATAGTTTGATAATACCATGGGATCACTATCCCGAAAGATACATAGAAACAATACCATGGGATCACAATCCCGAAAGAGACATAGAATATAGATACAAAACCATGGGATCACTATCCCGAACGAAATAAAGATCCTGAACCCAAACTGTGAATAAGCTGGTATTAATACATATTGTGAGTCGGGTAACCATACTAATACGACAACGTGACCTCCTTGACGTTTGTCAGACGTCGAACGATATCCAGAAATTTGTCACCCTAGGCGTGCCCGCCTAACTGTAGCTAGCAGTTAAGGTGTGGGATTGTCAGTCCCGAATAGATCTATTCACAAATTCCGCGCTCTCCCTCCAGGAGACTCTGGTTACACTTCCGGGGAGGATTTACTGATCATCCATAAAGGGTAGTGACTATCTCACAAGCTAGTACTAAACTATTCACAGGGTTCTTATAAGATATTGACATACAGAAAGTTATGAAACATAGTACAGTAAAGTATAGATACATACATGAAATCATCGGATAATACATTCAAATGATACGGAGATAAACTGAACGGACATAGTTTATCTAATAATTTAGTATAGATATCAGTATACGATAGAAGGAACAGTAAAGACCCCCAAATTATTCCCATAATAACTTGATTAGTTTGATTGTTTCTTAACTAAAATCCATTTAGTTGAAATCGAGTAGTCATTCCTTATGCTCAGCATAATACATAAGGAGTAAAAGAGTTTATAGATTTGTCAAATATTTTTTGAAACACATCAATGTTGTGATTGGAAAACAGTTATAGTTTGCTTGTATTCCCCCCCTGAAAACATTGAAAACAGTGAAAAAGCCGTAGGGGTATGAACTCACCGAACGAGGTACGAGACGATTTGGATGCTAAGAGTTGAGCCGGGACTTGTAAACGCACAAGGTTCCTAATTATGAAGTAAAGATACACATTTGTATCTAATTAGGACTTAGATTGATTGTCGGATAGGGACAATTGCTTCAGGTCGCGATAACACTCCGATACAAGTGTTTGGTGGGACCCGGGTGGCGTTTAGGGACATGAATGGCACAAGGGACTTGGGAAATGAGTTGGGACATCAAAGGAACACTCCCATTAAGGGATTTTACGGCCAAAACACCCTTCCCCATGAGTTTATGGCCGTAAACTCATGATGGGTGTTTTATGGTGCCTTTTGGACTTCCAACACTTAGGGGATAATTTCTAGACTTGGTTTAAGGACTTGGAATGATTCAAAACATCAATTTGACCCTCTTTGATGGGAGTTTACGGCCTAGCAAGCTCCATGGCCGTAAACCCTTGTTTGTCCAAGAAAATGATGTTTATTGTTGCTAGAACAATTCACATGTGATTGGTAAAATTAATCCAAGGCCTAACATGAGTTTGCATGGGACTTTTGACTGATTTGGGGGAGTTTACGGCCAATGAAACCCCCTTCATGGCCGTAAACTCTAGTGTGTGATGCTACAAGGTGTTTCAAGGTCTAGAACATGCATGAATGGACTTCTAAAATTCATCTAAGGGCCTTAGGGGTGTGTAGTTTGCATTATAACACCAAAAATTTTGGAGTTTACGGCCCAAGAACATGTCTTGGCCGTAAACCCTTAGAAACCCCATAAATGTTGTGTTTTAGGCCCTCAAAGTATTTTTGGTTGGTCCCTTGATTTATTCCAAGGCTTTTGGTGGTGTTGGATGGCTTTCTAACACCTTAGAATGGGATTTATGCCAAGTTTTGGGAGTTTACGGCCCAAGAACTCTCCTTGGCCGTAAACTCATCTAAGTCCCCCAAAGTTAATGTTTCAAGTGTCCAAATGCAAGAATCAAAGTCCCATAATTCATATCTAAGCTATAGGGGTGATTTGGAAGGGTTTAAGGGCATAAAAACCCTCATTATATGAGTTTACGGCCCAAGAATGATCTTTGGCCGTAAACTCCTCTAAACATCACAAAATGCAAGTTTTACATGTTTAGATTACATATCTTAAAGTCTCATAGCCATATCCAAGGTCCAAACTAGTCAAGGAAGGGTTTAAAGGCTCAAAACCCACCATCTTGGGTGTTCACGGCCTAAGCACTTCCTTAGGCCGTAAACTCATGCATTTTGTCCAATTTCATGTTTAAGTGTCTAATTTGGAAGCTAAACATGCTATAGATTAAGGCTAGGAAGGTACCTTAAGGATTTGAAGCCTTAAAATTGAGTTTTGGACACTAAATCTTTGGATTTTGGAGAGAGGTTAGAGAGAGAGTAGTGAGAGAAGGAAAAAGCTTCAAATGAAGGCTGAAACATGTTTATATAGTTCCTAAAATTTGCACGCGGTGGAATTCTACCCGATACCGACGCTAAACGCGGCTTTTGGTCGCACCCGATTGAGTTTCCGTCACCCGACGGGAACATTTTAAAAACTCGTGAAATAATCATTTTGGGCGAATAACATAAGTTCCTGAGTGCTTTAGACACTCATTAGGATAAAATAAACGCATAATTTATACAAATAAATTTTCAAAGAGAAATCGGAACGAATCCGATAACGGCGACTTTCCGGGTAGAACGGTTCTTGGCGACGAACAAATTTCGGGTTGTTACATTATCCCCCCGTTAGAGGGAATTTCGTCCCGAAATTCAAGGAATAGGATATAGATCATGAGTTTGAAACGAACTCGAATGGATTCGATATTTTGGATCATCACTTTCTTCAAGTGGAATCGGGTCTCTACGAAGATTTCGAAACATACGATATGGAATTAATCTTTAGACGTTCGAATGAAATTCCCGGAAACACTTCGGGACAGACATTTAGTAGAAAGAGCTACTAACTTCTCGTTTCTAAATGACCACAGAAACGAGGAATGCGGTAATTCGTACCAGGAAAACTCTGGAGTTGTAAAGCATGACACAATACGAAAG